GTTTTAGATCCTATAAAAAAATTTTTATCCCCCCTTATCTTATTTATATTCCCTCAAATAACCCCCCAAATGTCAAGTGGCATGGAGGATTCTTTCTTTTTTTTCAAATTATGTCCACGTTGTAATTCTATTTTCACATATGGCATTTTGTTTAATTTTATTGGTTGCTTACTGGGTATATAGTTTTCAAAAAATCCCTTGTAATTGTTAGGGTTCATGCGAAGAACATTCACCAGCGAAGCTGGGCACACTGCGAAGATGAAGACGAAGACGAAGGTCATAATCGAAGGCGCAGACGACAACGAAGACAGTTGCGAAGACATTGAAGATTGTAATTCTCAGGTAAGTTGATTTGTAAACTTCTTCTGTATTAGATGGTAATATTAGGGCAACTGGGTATGATTTTTGGGAAATCTAAAATTGGGTATACTTTCTTAACAAGATTCGCTATATTTTAACGTTACCTTTCACCATGTGGGTGAATTTATAAGGGTCAATCCAAATGAAATTATTTACAGATGGGGAGTTGATTCAATGGTAACTGGGGTACATGTTGCAAGTTGGACAATGGATAGAATTGACAAGTTGGTGAGTAGGTTAGGGTATAAGGATGATAGTTTTAGGGTATGGACAAAATTATAAGAAATTCAAGATGGATTTATTCTGATAAGAAAAGATGATGATGCATACGATTTTGCTTCATACTTCAGTGCAATGGCTATTGATGGGGATATATTTGTGGAACATTCTCTGGAAAACATGGATTCTGAGGATAGGGAACCTAAGTGTGTTAATGAGGTGAAGGAAATGGACGGGTTAGAAGAGGAATTTGTTGAAAGGTTAGATGATAGTGAAGATGATAGAGCTACTGCTTGTTTATGGCTTGGAATAAATTTATGTAACATTGTCCATCAATGAAGATGCAAGTCTTAGTTGGCTAGGAAAAAATTGATGTAACATTGTCCATCAATGAAGATGTAAGTCTTAGTGGACTAGGTAGGTAAAGATAAGAGAAAGTGGGGAGGATGGTGAAAGGAAGAGAAGACTTGGGGTTGCATATAAATGCACCAAGTGTGATAAGTTTGGTCAAAATACAATGGCTTGTAAGAGCAAGACACATGACCCCAATGCACTAAAAAGAAAGGTAACTAATTTTTATAAAATTTGTGATTCTTGCTAAGAGTTTTTTTTTTGTGCCTAACATAACCAGTTTTAATATGAATGTGCAGAGAAAAGTAAAAAGTGATATTACAATGTCTGCTGCTGAGTCTTCTGGTATGCCTGCTGATGAGCACACCCAGGTTGCAATCCCTGTTCAAGAATCAATGCCTGCTGATGTGCACACTCAGACTGTAATCTTTGCTGAAGAATCAATGCTTGCTAATGTGCACACTCAGAATGCAATCCCTGTTGAAGAATCAATGCATGCTATAGAGGCAGACTAGATCCAACTACCAACAGTACAGAGTCAAAGTGGATTTTGTGTTGTAGACTCAAGTCAGCAAAAATCTAAGAAAAAAAAGGCAACAAACCATAATTAAGAAAAGGCAGAGTGAGAGGATTAAGTTGACTTGGTTTAAAAAACCGATTACATACCAAGAATATACTAGTGAACAACCAATTACCATAACAAAAGCTGAAGACAAAACATGTGCCAAAGACTTTAAGCTTGGAGTGGCTACTAGGTTTATGAAGTCATGAAAGACCAAGAAAATGAAAGATTAAGAAGTTGTAATCTATATTTATATTTTGTGTAATATTGTATTAAGACGTGTGGATTTTGTGTCATTTAGAGTTTGTGTCATTTTGTGCTTGTGTCATTTTGGGATAATGTGTGTTTGTTGTAACAGACAAGTGTTGTAACACCCCAATTCTACCCGACAATTATATATGAAATCAGAGTTATAAAACTTCCACAACTAAATCAGGATGCTACAAATTCAACTTAAAACAACGACATTTATTACATATACATAACACATTAAACTGGGATGAACCAACAGCAACATAAATTAATCTTTTAAAACCAACAACTTCCATAACTATGCAGCGGAGTCAAATATTCAACTTAAAGGAATATAACATATTTATCCAACTAAAATAACTTCAGATAACAAGTATTTAACGAACAACAACTTAAAGTTCAATCAACTAAAATAATAACAACAATAAAACAGCAAGCGTTCCCCCCCCCCCCCCCCCCCCCCCGAGTGTTACGTATCAGAGCAATGGTACCGACTCGAACTACTAAAGGTAAACCGCCTTCACTCTGGATTACCTGCACGTTACCAACATCGGGGTAACATTCAAACAGAAGGGGTGAAATATTGAACAATATAATCATATGTATGATAATATTACATTAGAATTAGTCTATTCCAAATCACCACTTCACAACTTTAAAAAATGTCAATCACGACAAAAACATCAATGAAACATAATAAATAATTTACCAACACAACAACTCAATATGCAACGTGAAATGAAACTTGTTACTATGCACATGTATGTGGTACCAGCGGAGCAGAACTCCCAACTTAGAAACGGAGCAGAACTCTCAACTTAGAAACGGAGCAGAACTCCCAACTTAGAAATTTCCAATTAATAGAGGCATCAACAAGGAATAAGCCTTCAACTTCAACTTTTGCCAATCCAGGTCAACTTGTTATGCTATGCATGTGACAACAACAACTACAACATCAACCATTCAACAACACAACAATAACAATTCAACTACAACTTAACAAGAATTCAAGAACAACTTAATAATAATTCAACACTGGTCATAGGCCTACAACTTAATTCAACATTGGCCATAAACCTACAACTTAATTCAACATTGGCCATATGTTTACAACTTAATAATTGTCAATTATAAATACAATACAACATAACTCACCACTACATGCAACTTCAACAATTAATAACAACAACACAACAATTTACACATGTCAATAATATTATTAACATGATCCTACTAAAATAATTCTACTAAATTATTCTGTCATAAGCTTCATTAATAGTTTTCTGCTAAATTAGTGAAACTATTATTTCCTGCCACTTAAGTCATCTCTACTGCTAATATATTTTGGGTACTAATACTACTGCTATTTAGTGTTAGTTATGCAACTAAAACTATACTAGTTATTAATTCTGCAATTTATTAATTATTCTTGCTAAATATCCATTGTTATTACTTTCATATATCACCGCTACCAACAATTCTCATTACATTGTCTGCTAATTATTAATTTTCTGCTAACAACTCAGTTACTCATTTATATTACCTGCTATACTTATGCAAATCTTCAGATTACTCACTTCAGTTACTAATAAATAATCCCTATTGTTATTCATCATTTTCTAATCCTGCTATACCTTTTTCTGTAACAAACTACTAAGTAACAGAAACGCAATACAGTCCCAGAACAATTAAAAGAAATACTGGTTAAAGGATTCATGCCTCTCGGCATACAAACCGTGCCCCTCGACACAGAACGTGGTGCCGGTCGGCACCCTTCATTAACACACATGTGTCGCTCGGCACATGTCCATGATTCCAGTTGCAGTTCTGCAACTACGTCCAAACTTTCCTGCGATCAGTAATTCATTTCCTTCCCATGATCTCAGACCAACACAACAACTATACTCACATCAATATATACAAATTTCCAACACTCGATTCATCAATTGAATCACTGCAACGTTAGCACAATTATCACAGATGTCAAACAACAATTTATCCATACAACAATTACACACATCAACAATTTCACACAACCCAATTCCCACGTAACATGCATCATATACCCAATTATAGAGTCATAACCTCACCCTTACCTTAGATTGAAGGTTTCTCTAACTATACAATTGCACCTAGTTTTGCCTCCTCTTTGCACTTCTAGGTATCTCTTCCAAAACCCTTATTCCTCTTTTTCTAAAATCTATTTCTTCTCCTCTTCTTTCTCCTCTTACTGCTACTTCTACTCCTTATTATTCTAAAATAACTAATATAATATTATTATCATTCTAATATAATATAACTACTATACTATTATTCTTATTGAGCTTAAATTCCTACACCTTCCTTTCTACTACTTCTAACATTAAAATAGACTCACATAAATAATAATAGTATTATTCAATATTAATCTTACAACTTAATCAACTAATTAATTCAACTAAGAACGACACAACTTAAATCAACATTTTACAACTTCGAAAATTTAATCGAAAAAATATTCGAAAATATTTAATTAAATATTGAGCGTTACATGTGTTGCACTGGATGTCAAGTTGTAATGTTGTAACAAGTGTTTCTTGTAACAAACTTTTATATTTTGTTAATCTAATATGCACTAAATTATGATATATTATACACCATTTGTCCAACAGGTTAATTGGAATGTAAAACTTAACATTGCTTTCATTGATAAACCAATTCAATTACAATACAATACACCTTACATTAACAATATCATTACATTACCTACAATTATTGAAACATATTACATGACCATTACAAAAATCATCTACGACAAACAATTACATTAACTTAAACATTATTGCAAAAATCATCCATGACAAACAAATTGCAACTATCAGACTAAATTTTTTTCTCTATTACAAGCTTCTTCTTCAATTTTTCTGACTTCTTTGAGCTTCCTTCTACTTCCTATTTTTTCCCAACTGTACAATCAATCTCCTTGACAATTTCCTTTGCATATTCATACAAATAAACTTTGACGATTTCACATTGACAAGATCTTGAAAGATTCATGTAGTTTCCTTGGAGCTCATTAGCCAAATCGTGCTACATAAATAGTCCACAATCATTCTACAAATACAATTAAGATTAACAGATTTAACAAATTCTGAAAAAAATTATACGATTATAATCTTCAACAAATACTTACCATTGAATTTCTACATTTTCAGAATTTTCGATTTGGGTTATTAATTGTGTTTGATACCCACATCTTCATCATTTCGTTGCACCTTCATATTGGCAATTCCTTACCAAAATTACCAGCTGATAATGACGACTTGCTACCACCCATGCTTGAAGACGGACGATGGCCGGCGAAGATGCTCGAACGCAGATGAAACTTGAAGAAGGACGATGACCGACGCAGATGAAGAAAGAAAGAGGAAACCAACCCTAGAGATGGAGAAATCATAAGTGAAGAGAAAAAAAACACATTTAAGTGATTATGCCAGTACACATATGGAGAAAAAAAATTTAAAAAAAATAAACAAAAAAACCACATATGAAAAAATGAAAGAATCATGTATGTCACTTGATATATAAAAGGTTATTTGAGGAAATCTAAATAAAATAAAGAAGGAATAAAAAAATATTTACATACGCTAAAACTAAAACTCAGAGTTTTGAATATTTAACCCTTAAAAATAAAGCTTGTGTATAAGTATGTTGCAGTTTTATCATGTTAATTGATTATTAATTTTTATATATCACATATACGGTTTTCAAATGATTTTTTAATTGCGATAATATTTGATCTTTTGGTTGTTCTATTTCCAATATGCCCTTACCACTTTATTCTTTATTGGTCCTAATATTTTACCTTCCACGTATTTTACAATTTTGAAATTTTTACACGTACAATTTTGAACAAGCAAAGCGATTGAAGATATGTTTCTCTTCTCTTAGTTATACTTTAATATAGTTTCGCAGAAAATAGGATACTGACACATGAGTGTCTCATTTAGTCTCAGACTCGCAAGAAAACGAGATAACGTAGAATAGATATTGTTGAAGGTGTGAATCTAAAATCTTAACATACATTGCAAAAAAAATGAGGACAGTGTAAAGAAAGCCCACTAACACTTTACTTTTTAAGCTTAAAAATTTCAAAATTTATGTTAATATTCACGCTCAAATCCGAAAAAGAAAAAAAAAAAAAAAACAAAGTGGACGAGACAAATATATTAAAGGATAGAAGTTCAAAACTTTGGTCTATCCTACCAAAAAGTAAAGACAAAACAGACATATATATATATATATATATATATATATATATATATATATATATATATATATATATATATATATATATATATATATATATATATATATATATATATATATATATAACAGACAAAACAGACATATATATAACAGATCATTACCATTTTGTCATCCCACGCAAAATAGAAGAATGCTCAAATTTTTCTATTCAAATTAGGTCAAACTAAATGATGTGAATGAAAGAAAAAAAAACTAGATTAAATAATTAAGAGAAAAAAATTCATGAGTGTTCCGGATGGGTTGTTAAATTGGGTAAAGAGGCAGCTGGTTAAGTTAATCATTTGACTGTCTTCCATTATTATATTTTAAGAAGAGGCAAAAGCTTTTGTCATATCATAGTTTTCTTTTGGATTATCATTTACTCTAGGCTTTATAATGATTATTTTATGTATTACGATAAGTATATAAGTTCAATTCTCTGGCAATGAGCTAGCTTATGTATAGTTGAACATTTTGCTTTATTACTAAATATGTAAGTAACATTACTCAAAACTTCATGCCATTCTAACCAAAATAAAATTGTCTGTTATACATCTAGGAGTGCATTAAAATTTACGCCTACCAATAGTTACTTAGAGCTAATATTTCTTGCCTTGTATTTTGTCCATCTTACATCATTGGTTTGTATTTCGTTTTCACTTGTAGAGTGTATAAAGGAACTCTTGTCAATGGGTTGCTATTCTTGAAATTACAGGGTTGAGAACTTGAGGGACGCTATCTATACAATCTTCATTATTCTATTTTTGTGAAAAATAAGTTTTTTCTCTCCTTTATTTTTTCCATGACCCCACCTCAAATTAATTTTCAACCCAAATTTCAAAGTAGTCTTGCAACTACAATTGTGAGTGTGCAAAAATTCAGACACAAGATAGTGAAATAGTGAAGCAGTGCATTAGGAAAAAATGCAAAGTAAAATTAACCCAACATGGGAAGAACCAAGAAATCTCTACCAAATGATGCATTGTATCTCAAACTATTAAAGACTAGAATTCTCTAACTAAAATTAGTCAAATTTCCGAAATCGGTTTCTCATAAATATTCTACAACTTAGAAGAATTCGCATCATTAATGTGAATAGATCCTCCTTCATTCCAACTGCAAACAATCGAAAAACAGGTAGAGTCATAGATGTTAGTAATTGCCGAAAGGAGCAATCACATAAATTAGTTGATCAGAAAACAAATATCCAGAACACTAACCTGATCAACATGTAAATAACTCTGCCAGTTTAAGTTACAAAACCAACTATTTCTTCTTCTTACCGCCACCGGCCTTAGTTTTCTTGTTTGCCCCTTTAGCATCATTCACTGGTGTTTCCTGTATAAGAGAAGATTATGTGTCAGACCATGGATCTGGAAAACCGTGCCATTTATTTCTTTCCATTATATTTATAACATAAAAGCAGTATTTTTTTGGTTTAATTAAAATATTAGTAGATATTTTGAAAAGGTTGTTCATTCATTAATGTTTTTGTTAGGAGACATGATGACAATATTTTGATATTCTTGGATTATCTTATAGGACTAGTTTCACAAGGCTTGGTTTTTGTTGTTTATCTTGTTATAATCATATGATTTATTTTTCATGGTAGGATTGAGTATTATATCAATAATGTGTATGATGTGTTTGCATTGCATTGAATCATCAATCATAATATCAAACTATTAAGAGTCCCACAACGGACTATATATGGTCTGAACATGTTCTTATAAATGGGGGCAATCCTCACTCTACAAGCCAGTTATGTAGAGTTGAGTTAGACCCAACCACATTTCTTAACACAAACCATTATAACAATTTGATTCAAAGTTCTTAAATTTTCTCTTCCCTCTTAATCTAAAATCATATAACCTCAAAAGATGGTATCAATGTCATATCATCCTTCATAAGCTTTCCCCTTTGGTTGCCAAGTTCACTAAGGTGTGAGACTCTACTATTATATATTAATAATAGTATTCAAAATCCTTCTCCTTCTTTACTCAGCAAAGTCATGTTCATAGACTAACATTTCCTCACACACATCACCAAAAACAACTCTAGTCATGCAGTTAGGAAACCTTGACTATTAATTGGGTATTGAAGTTACCCATCTCAAATGGCAGCTTATTCCTTCCACAGACCAAATACATCAAGGATATTTTCAACAAGGCCAACATGACATGAGTGAAGCCAAAGGAATGTCCGCTCCCAAGGTTGCTAGGCTAAAGTTATCCAAGCTTGGGTCGCGCTATCTCAGTATCCAACCTACTACAGGTCCATTTTTGGGGCTCTGCAGCATGCAACCGTCACTATCCACTAGAAAGTCATAGAGCAGCAATCTAGAGTTCTAAAGTACCTAAGAGGTACTCAACATCATGTCCTTCTACTTAATCCTGCTTCTTTGTCCAAGCCTCTATCCATCACTGTATTCTCTAATGCAGACTGGAGAGCTGACCCAGATGACAGAAAATCAACATTTGACTCTTGTAAAGAGCAACATAGTTGCCGGGTGGTTAAAGAAACAAATCAAGCACTAAAACTGAATATTTTGGTTGCAATCACCCCTAAAAGAACTCAGTTGCTTTCAATACACCTATTATATTGTGACAAAATAAATTATATGGAATTAGATATTTTTTACCTAGGGGAAAAGGTAATCGATAGGAGGAATCTAACATAACAAATCCACTTGGATTTGAAGGGGAGATATTAGAGTAAACATTAGTAACCGAGTAGAACTGTTTTGTTGAGCAAAACTAAATAACAAACTTGTAACTAATTGTGCTGACTCAGCACAACTGTAATTGATTGTACAACTGACTCAGTCAGTTACATAACACTATAAATAGCTTAGTAAAAGCTATTGCAATAAACTTGTTCATTCTAATCATTCCAATATAAGATTTCTTTTTTTGAGTTTCAGAAGATGAATTCTACATCTTCCACTTTCTAATATTTCAGAGGGTACATTTGTTAGATGATATGAAAGTAGTTTATAATATCTAGATATTAATTTGGAGCACCTAAGATCATCTCATAGGATTAATTTCATTTGAGAGTATTTAGGCCATCTCTTTGTATTAGTTTTCATAATTTTTTGTCTTTATTATAGTTTGTTCCCTCTATACAACGGTAATAAGTACTGATCTCAAAAGCCCAGAGTAGATTAAGACTGCACAATTACAGAATAATGGAGTACTACAGCCCCAACAACATTTGTGTAAAGAAAGAACACTAGCTATTTAGGAGAGCTTTGCTAGCTAGTCAACCCAAAATCATAATCAACACTTAAAAGTAGCAAACCCAAGCAGAATGTCAATTGATCGTCACTACACATATATGTGATGGGCTTTTACCTTACACATACCAGAGTAGAAATGAAAACTAACTAGACTTCTTGAAAGTTTAAAACAGTAATTAACTAGATCCAGGGACCTATATGCTTATGCTAAAGGAACTAAAAGTAGAGCCAAGAACTATATTTCAAGGTTAAAATACATACATTCGTAATAAAAGATTGCGAGCAATCGAGCACTGGAAGGCTTGATGTAGTTTTTAAAATTTCTCATGCTAAATTAGTAGAAAAATTATATCTCGATTACTAAAAGACAGATTATGCATAAGCATAGATTGACATTGAAGGTTCACCAGTGCTATTCAGCTTCAGGCACCAAAGCAGACACCTCTAGACAATGGCACAGAAAGCTCGGAACCCACATTATAGATCGGCATTCTCAACTTGCCAAAAATCATGGACCTTGAACTGTTAGAAATTTGCAGAGAGGACATCTTATGATCAATTGCTGGTTTGAAAGACCTAAGCATGCATTTGCTTTCCTGTCATTAAGTGTAGCAAAATTATGCTAGCATATCAGCTCTAATATTTCAAGTAAATTTGGTAAAAATTCCTGTTTCCTGTACCGGGGGGACTAAAGGGAACAGTTCCAAATCCAGTTTGTGGATAAATGATAGAATAATGGCATCACTTGCCATATAAATCAGGGTGTTCAATTGTTTAAATTTTGTAGTAGCTAACAATGCTTGTCATGCATTTTGAGAAGAAACCCAATAAAAAATACCCCATATCAAAATATGAATGTGTATAATCAATCAGTTTTGTTTTCAGGCAATTTAAGTTAACACGACTTTTCATGGAATGGAAGAGTTTTAGTCGTCGATATGAGGATGAAAATTAGGCAAGGAAACAATATGAAAACTATGTAAGGAAACAACAATTTGTGATCTAGCTCAGGCAGACAA